TGCCCAATAATAATCACTCGTGGTAGAATGAACTCCTGGCAAAAGTGCCAAAAAGACCTTGGACTCAAACGCGTCACATCTCAAAATAGCCGTGGTCCTTTAGGGGTTAAAGTTAGAGATCGGGTTCCTTTAATCTTATTTGCATATGCAGCTGCTGCCTTTAAAGGTCCACTATAGTCACCCAGACCACTTCAGGTCCCCCAGGTTTTAACCCTTCAGATGTAAACATAGTTTTAGAGAAACTGCTATGTTTACATTGCAGTGTTAAACCAGCCTCTAGTGGCTGTCTCCCTGACAGCCGCTGGAGGCACTTCCCCGACGCTCAGTGCGAAAATCGCATTGAGCATGCAGAACGTCCATAGGAAAGCATTGATAAATGCTTTCCTATGGGCGTTTATAATGCGCGCGCGGCCCTGGCCACGCATGCGCATTTGGCTCCACTCAGGAGCTGACGTCGGAGGGGGATGAGTTCACCAGCGCCGAGGGAGCCTGGCGCTGGTTTAAGGTTTTAACCCCTTCAGCCCAATGGGATGGGGGGCTCTGAGAGTGGGGGGGAACTAAGGATTATATAGTGTCAGGAAAACAGGTTTGTTTTCCTGACACTACAATGGTCCTTTAATTAACTTTCCCTTTAGTGGTATGCTGCTATCTAAAAAAAATACTGTTTAGTAGAGATACCCCCAGTGAAAACATGCATGTATTTAATTATGCATTTTTTAAATTTGGGGTATATCTAAAAACAGCTTGTAAAAGATGTTAAACCCTTGTCTGCCGACCTTACAAGCCCTCCCCTTCTAACCCCGCCCAGACTTTTTGTGGCTGTCCAATTGGACTTCCCAGTGCAGCTCAATGAGAAGTATTTGCAAGACAGGTGCTCTGGGCAATTGCCTTCTTGTTAATTTATGGTAATGCCAATTTCTATTGAAATCTTAATTATTATTTTTTTTTTTGTAAAATAAAAGAGGACACACTCTTTTCACATAAAGCACTTCAACAAGCTAAAATGCTTTAGTGATGTGGAGTGTTCCTTTAATAGGAAAGGGACTAAATATGTTATGGCAGCTGCACCCAGAGGTTAAGGCGATATAAAATGTGTTCGTTTATGTCGGCTTGTACTGCACTACAGAATATGTTGTTGTTTTAATAATAATCACGATAATGTGAATTATTGAAAGCTCAAAATAAACATTCAGCTACCAATGTTCCATTTTAAAATGTTTTGTAGTTAGTTGTACAGAAACTATTTTATTTATTTATTCATTTATAGATGAAATGTCCCAGGCGGCGCAGATCAACGGAGCCCAAGCACTAAGTAAAACATGGGAGCTAAGTCTATATGAATTGCAGAGGACACCTCAGGTAATGTGATTTCTGTTAATCTTTTACCCCAACTATAACCCTTTTTTATAATGAAGTATAATAATACCATATTGGGAATTATTAACTATGCCCACTCCTCTTTTTTTATGAAATTTTTTTTTGAATATCTTAAAACTTGCCTTGCATCCAGCGCCAGGCGAAGTGATTCTCACTCGTTTCCAGGCTCCATGTTTTGTCATACTGCATCACTCTGAGGTCCAGATGGATGCTCTCAGAGAAGCGTTGGAATGCATTGTAAGGGCTAAATCTTTTTTGTTTCTTGGATAACTTACTAACTCCTATGTGGAAGAGTGGTTTCTCATTATACTTCATAGTACTACCGAATAGACATTAGGCAGCCTAGAACAGAGTTCCAGGCTGCCTAAATCACATGTGCCTGGTGTGTGACTCACCCCAGACACAAAAGAGCAGATTACTTTGTATAGGCAGTGTTTCAAGCTGAAATGCAGCAAATACAGATTCCTTCCTCCATGACCACTTCTAAAAGCAGAAGTGGACATGTAGATTGGGGTAACCTTTTAAGGATCAGGAGTTGGGCAAATTTCTTATGATGGAGTGTAATGATGAATGTCGTATGTTTTGAGGACGATCCTTTGTATGTTTATTTACAGGAAGCAATAACAGATGGCTTAGAAATCGTGGTTTCCCCTAGAAGCCTACACAGTGAATTAATGTGTCCAATATGCCTTGATATGCTAAAGAACACCATGACAACTAAAGAATGTTTGCATCGGTTTTGTGCAGACTGCATAATAACAGCTCTCAGAAGCGGGTAAGCATTGATTGCTTTTATTTTTACAGTAGATGAAAAGCTGTTGTGGAATGTTTGTATCAGTAACTGGACTACACCTGGTTTGAATAATATTAACAGTCACCTATGTTGCTCAGCCGCATGATTTTTGGTTTTGTCGGTTGGCCGCAAATTAATTCTGGAAACCATGTGTGAGAAATACACTTGCCGTCTGTTATAGGTATTGTACAAATCTCTAAGCACTTCAGCTTTGTTGTTAGTTAGCATTGTCAGCCAAATATGGCTTTACAAAATATGGACAAGAGTACTTCAAGTGTAGATGTAAAGAGGCACATGTGGATTCTCACATAGAAGAATAAGTTGCAAAATACATCATGTATCTAACTTTATTCTTTTTGATGCCTTTATAAGTTATATATGTGCTGTATGTGACTTCTTGTTCAAATTCAGAACTGATATGTTGGCTATATATCACTAAACTACATGATAGTTGATAAGTGCATTTTTTGTTTGGTTTTAGAGTGCTCTATACCATGCTTCTTCCGGGGCCCTCTCCGGTCTCCCCGATTTTTATCCCCTGGTTTACCACATCCAAGGACAACTAAATTTCCTCAGGTGCATGTACCATTAAAGGCATATCTGTTGAGATTGCTATAGCTTTTATAGTAAGATTGCATGTTGTGGTCACACACAGTCTCATCACCACGCACTGTACTGCAACTTTAATAATGTTGTTCTCTGCATGGTCATAGTGCGCACTGCACAGATCAATTGCATCTCATGATGTGATTGAATTGTGCTACCCTTGGTATCCCAAGATGCTGGACCTCATGGAACTAAATCCGGACATTGGAACAGGGCCCCATATTGGGACTGCCTCATTAAAAGAGTGACTGTTGGGATGCATGTTTGGGGACAGTCGCTGATTAAGGTTACACTACAGCATTACTGTAATAGTCGTGAACACACTACATATTGGCCAAGTGTCCCTATAAGGAACATAACAGCTGGTGATGATGGTCTGTAATTTGCACCTTGCGTGTGTTTGCACCAGAAACAAAAAGATGGTACACATTGGTTGAACAATTTGGAGTTTTTTGTATTGTACAGCAAATAGCATAGGAGCTAATTAACAAGTGGCAATTTTCCAGACAAATAAACACCCAGTGGCTTACAGCACTTTAAGGGACATTCTCTTAAAAGACAAACATATTGCTAAAACCCCTGGCTGACCTGATCTCTTTATGTGACCACTGCCAGCCCAAACCACGAGAGATAGCAGTACGGATGAAGTCTTACAACCCAGAATGAGAACGTCAAAACTTATGACATAAATTAAAAAACAATAGCAAGTACATGCAGACTTGGAGATTATTAAAAACACTGCCTTGCTTTATATGTTTGTGATTCGACTGCGGGACCTTACAGTATAAACAAAACTGTTAGGAGATGATGATTTGACCTTAAAGAATGCTATAGTAACCAAACTTGCTACTAAATATGCAAAAATGTTTCATGCTTCTACACAAGCAGCATGTGATAAGAAAGACGCGCATGATTTTTGTACCTGAATAAACAATATCCAACTCAACAACAAGTGCCTCAGAGAGTGTGTTCCAGATGTTATGACAAAAGCAACATGGCAAATGCCTGCAAAGGTTAAGAATAGTATCTATGGATGTGGGAGGATTAGTCAGACATAAATAAAACTAAGACAAGTCATATTCAACTTGTTGAGGTGCAAATTGCTGCTGTTTTATTGCATGTTGCATATATATATATACACACACACACAAACTCTGTACGCCAGTTTTAAAGTAACAAATCAACCTTAACTCCTCCCCATCGCCTGCAAGGTTTTAAATGGTGAGTTTTACTTACCTTTCAGCCCTGGCAGCTCTGGTCTCTGCCCTGCTGTCCCACCTACTTGACAGATCATCAAAATTGATGTTCTCAGCCAATGGAATGTTAACCCATGGGGAAACACTGGAACACTAGTGTGCATGCGTGGCAAAATGCTGCGCCAATCGAAACTAGAGGTATGTTACTGGCCACTAGAGGTGTGTTAACCCTCCAATGGAAAAATTGGAGTTTTCTAAAACTGCAATGTTTTACATTGCCGGGTTAAAACTACAGGGCCACTGCTCCCAGGTCACTTCATTGACTTTTTTTCTACCCATTTTTGGAATGAGAGTGTGAATGCTCTCCCAGAGGACTGGTTTTGAGTTCTTAGTCTTGTTCAAGAGGTACTTGACAAGAGATTTTTAATTATTTATTTTTGTTGTAGCTAGTATTTTGGTATAATGACGTAAATACTAAAGGAGAGGGGCTTTCAAGTACTCTATAAGTTAGAGTGAATACACTTCTCCATACACTACTACCAAATACTCCATTGGGCGGAAAGGAAGGAGGCTTTCAATAGGTCTACATAAGTTAGAGTGAATAAACCTCTCCACCTCTCCAGACACTTTCAACAAATATCCCACAATGCTAACAAAAACTAAGTTGGTTTCTCTACCTTCTACCGATGGTGCTCTAAAGGTTAAAGATAAAAATTGTAATACCAAGTTGTTTGATCTCATCAGGTGCACTATTAAAATACATTGGAACTGATGAGCCAAATATTTTTTTTTTGCTGTAGGTATATATTTCACTGTAACTAAGAAGAGATGACAAGTCCTACAAAAATGAATGCACTCTGTAGCTTCAAACATTTGAATACAGTGTTAATGGTTTCACTTATTCCTGTGTAGAAACTCCTTAACGGAAGGAGACAATTGCTAGTGCTTGCTTGACATATTCTTATGCCTTACTTAACTGTTTCAATCTACAGTTTTAATAAACAATTAATTTAGCCCATTGACTCATTGTGATAACTCTTTCTGTTTTTAGGAACAAAGAGTGCCCTACATGTCGAAAAAAATTGGTCTCCAAAAGATCACTGCGCCCTGACCCAAATTTTGATGCCCTCATAAGCAAGATCTACCCAAGCCGCGATGAATACGAAGCACACCAGGAGAGAGTACTTGCCAGAATTAGCAAACACAACAACCAGCAAGCCCTGAGTCACAGTATAGAGGAGGGACTGAAGATACAGGCCATGAACAGGTAGAGTTAAGGTTATTGATATGTGATGAGATGGAATGACAGGAGTCAATGTACAGAGCAAAACTATCAAAGTGAATCTGCCATGCCTCCAATTCCAACTCCCTTCCCCAAGAAAGACTCAATTTGCCTTGCTTAGGAACACGACCCCAAGCAGGGTAATTCTTCCCCATGATGCCCACACACTAGCTTTAATGCCAGCAATTCGGGGTGGGAATGTTTTAACAGGTGTTACTTTGTTCCTCCTCCTGCTTCCCCCTTCTTTCTCAATTATCTATTAAGTGACAGGTGGGGAAGGAACCATATTTTTTCAAGTATTCGTAGGTTTGCTAGAATTTCTCATAGCCTAAGATAGGAGTACATTTTTATTTTTCTTAATTTTATATAAAGGAGAAAGACTTACCAAGGCAAAAACAAGTGCTATCCGTGGGTAAAGTGCTCTCTCAACATTTAGCACACTGCACACAAAATGGCACATATTCTGTCTTGAAAATCTGCCCCAAAGTTTGCTATTAAATGACACGTACTTTTAAATCTACATTCATGAGCAACTCAAGAAAAAAAACTTTCTTGTATGTAATCTTATGTGCAGATAAAAAAAAAAACGGGCAGCCCGGTAATATATTAATAGCTATGATAAGGGGAAGCAGTTACCCACAAACTGGAGACATAGGCACACTAATATATTTAAAAATATAAATAAATAAAAAAATTGGATACACCTAAAGGGTTAATCCAGCTGCTATGTTACTTTATTTTTCTTCTGATATGTTTAATATACTTATATATTTAGGTTCCCACACATTTTTTGCCAAATAACCAGTGAACATAACTTAAATGTATCTGGAATCCAGTGCTGGGTGCTGGAATTCCTGACCACTTCCACATCTTCCTACATGTCAACTCTGCATCTTCTTCTTCCTGGTCACAGTTTAATCAATGCTTCAAATAGAAAAGCATTGATGTACCAGGCGCATGCTCGTCAATTCGATGGGAAGGAGGAATGACTGGTTTGAAAGTGTAGAAGGTGTACCCACCTTCTACAAGGACCAGGGCACATTGTAACATCCTAATGGTTAGCGAGGGTTAGCGAGGGTTCTAACACTAGGGAGGGAGGTGAATTTAGGCAAAAAGTTAAATATACTTGTCAGCGTGCAGAGAGCATCAATTATATTTTTACACAAACATGACTTTTAGTGTGTGCTGCACAAAATATTCCTACCAACTTGACAACTTCTAAAAGTGGAAGTGGTCATAGAGGTTACAGAAACTCTTTAATATATAAATGAAAATATAATAAATAAAAATTGTATCACCCAGGAAGAGAACATGTGGAAAAAAAAAAGAACAATCCAAAAACAATAAGTGACAGTGACAACAACAAAGATAAAAAAGGAGCAGCATTTATACAGACCAATAGGTCATTACCACCAGGAGGTGGGCAGAAGGTGAGACATATATCTCACAAAACATTATATATAGATATGGCATGTTATGCTGCAGCTATCAGTAATAATTAAAATAAAGACAAGTCTCACATATCTACTATTCATCATTCTGTTCACCAGTACAGATTTCCATGATTTATTTTTATTTAAAAAAACATTTATTTTTTTTTGGTTTCTAAAAATTAGATTTTTATTTTTTTTTAACACCATTTTGTAGGTTTCTTAGTGGCCAATTTCTCTAATTTATTAAAATATTTAAATAGAAGGGTTTATCTCCTGATAATTGAATAAATGCTCTAGCCTTATGCAGATTTGATGCCCCTTCTCTTGTAGGCACCAAGTCCTTAGGTGCGAGACCTAAAACTTTCAAATCCTGTTAATTCCTGATCTTCCAGTTATTTTTAGGGGACACTTTGAAGGATTCAAATCCCGTCTTTTAAAAAGTAAGCAAAAGTATATTATAGGAGCAGTAAAGGGCAACATCTTGCCTTCCACTAGAATAGGGTTCTTTAATTTGTCATATACTGACTGCACCTCAAGTGGAATTATTAAATAAGGGTATTTCATTCTTAACCCTTATTTCTCCAAGCATCCTTATATTTTTTTCAGGATTTAAATAGATTAAATTGTAAACTTATCTTGAGGAGGTTTTTTATTTTTTTTAATAAATGGGCTCATTTTCTTTCAATCTCTATCTTAGATGATTTTCATTTAACATGTTATGCTTCATGTTTGCGGAGCACTGGGTCTTTGTTACAAGTATCACTTTAAGTCCAATTACTTCTGGCTAGCAAAATGTTGTCTCTTTATTCTAAGATCATTCATGGATTTGGGTTTAAATCCTTACAATATATATTTGCTGACCCTTTAGTATCACGTGGTCAGGCTTTGACGTTGATACTGTCTGTTTTTTTTTGTTGTTTTTTTTTTAAATCTTTTTATTATTGTCTTTCATTTTTTTTCTTCCATTGACATTAAACTTCACAAAAAACATACAGAGCACAAACAATATAAAAACAGTACAAAAAAAATACAGAAAATACAAAACAAACCCACCACCCTACGAGAGTTCTCAAAAAAATTCCATCTATTACTCCGAATTAGATAAAATAGTGATTTAAATCTCCCTTAGTTTTTTCTCCCAACTGGCCCATAGACTAGAATTGTCATTTAGACATTTACAGTGATCTCTCTCCATCTTAAGTTGGTAGGCAAGTTGAGAAGTTATTTGTTTGATGGAATAAACATCTTACAAGACATTAAACAATGTGTGATCAGAAAAAGTTCAGGTTTCTTAAATTTTGGCCAGTTACAATGCAATAACATTACTTCAGGTTTTAAAAATATTTTTACATTACACAATTTGTATATAATCGCTTGAGCCCACTGCCAAACTACGACCATTTTTTTACAGGACCACCACATATGAAGGTAATTTCCTTTTATGTTGTCTACAATTCCAGCATTGAGCATCAAGATCCTTTGCAAATGTAGCTGTTTTCACTGGAGTCATATACCAAAAATTTGTTAATTTAAATTGTGTTTCTAATAAGACAAAGGCATGAACATATTTATTGATTTTATAAAAGGAAGATGACCATTCCTTTATATCTATATTTTTACTTAAGTCACTGTTCCAATTTTTAATAGCAGTGGGGATTGTCAGATCATAAGCACCCTCTAAAATTCTAACACATCTAGAGAACAGCTGTTTTATTTTACTCTGCTCTAAGATAGTCTTTAAAATATCGTATAGGGTTCCTTCAGTAACTAAGGCGACCTTCTCTAAAAAATGCTTAACTCTAATATAAGAAAATAATTCATTGTCAGGAAGATGGAACTCATTTACCAACATTTTGAATGATTTTATTTTGCTATCTAAACAAATCTCTAAGTGTATTAATCTGATAGTTTTTCCAAGATTTCACTGTTAAATTTTCGATACTGATTTCTAGTACTTTCAAACTTTGAAAATTATATCATCCATATCTATTTTTTTCTTGATTTTTTTTGCCAAATAGGAATAATCTGTCCAAGAATATAAAGTCCCGTTAGCTGAAATTTTTTTAGATTACAAATAAACTCTGAGGGGTCTTTTACTTTTGTTGCTTCTAACTCTAATTCCAACCAAAATTCTTCTTTATTTTGTTCTAACAAACTAACCATGATATGCATATTATTATCTTGTTTTGGCAAATTTATATACTGTCTGTTTTTGTTTTATCCTTTCCCATTACTGTTTTTATTTTAATGGTGACTATTATTTACAGGCAAGGGGTATAGTGTTATAGTCCAGCTTGGCTCCTTCTTATGCAAATTTCTTCATGGGTTATAAGGAAGACCAATTTATCTGGGCCAATAACCCTTGGAACAGCAAGCTATCTTTCTATCTCAATTACATTGATTATATAATAAATGTGCAGAAGGAGATCTTACTAATATAATCCACTTTTATTGTTTATTAATTACCCTTTTTGGGCTATCTTTTACTTCTTGCATTGCCTTTCTTCTATTGATTTCTTAGACTTGACACTGAGAGGAGTTGATAATAAAGTTATGACCAACATACACTATAAGGAGGTTATTGTGACCGTTGCTTACATGCCTCCTGTGGTCACTATCCCCAATGGATTTGAAATGTCCCTTTTTTGACAATTCACTAGATTGGAGACATTGCTCTTCTTTGTGTGATTTAAAAAAAGATTCTTTATTATTGATTAAAACATTTTTGGAGAGAGCCTATTCTTCAGTTGAAGGAGTGCCTTTGAACGGTGATCCCGTCAAATGTATGGATAATATGTTTTCAAGTTATCATTATAATTTACTCAGAATTGCAGCAGAATCCACTTATTCAAAATCCCCTATGTCATGGTGAAAAGAATTGGCGTATAATAAACATAATTATAGTGGTTTGTTGACTTTCTGAAACCGTTCGTCTGTTTGCAGGCGCGTTCGTTAGAAATTTCCAGTTGGTTTTATACAAAGTTTGCTATACGTGTCAATTTTGTTAATCTGGTCTCACTTCTCATTGCCTCCCAGGTTGTTCTTGAGAACAGGACATTTGCGTATGGGGACATAACCGTAGTTCTAAGGGCAGGAGACCCCAGGTTGAATTCAGTTCTCTATTCCTTAGGGAAACATTAACATCTTGCATTACTATAGGTACCTTGGTCATACAGGACGGTGGCTTTACAAAACACTACAATTCTGTCATTTGCCTCTGTCATAATTTCATTGCATAACAGGTAGGTTTCCTGTTATTGTTCAGGCCCATGATCTGGCCCACTCACATAAATATATACGCACATATACTCATCGCATCTTATACATGGGTGGCAGCACGTATCTACTACCACCCTCTCGTTCCTATATTTCTACATAGAATCTCGTCCTGACTCAAATCTTATCCGGGACGATTTCACAACCCTGTACCTTTTTATTTTAGAGTGGTACTGGCTTGTGAGATTTAGGTTATCCAACTAGGTTTCTGTTTTCCGGTCTTAATCCAAAAGCTAGTGGTCCCGCGAGGCCTACACCCATCCTCATACTCGGAGGTATACGTCCCTCGGCCCAAATCATAGGTAGCCGCCTCGCATTGTCGCATAGAGAGGGCCTCCCACGTCACTCCCATTCTATCTTATGCTTTAGTTACCACCAAGAGGCCAACACCCCGCCACAACGTTTCGGTGGCCTCAAGCTCCCCTCGGGCCAACACATAGTTAGCACCTCAAACGCCGCTTGGCAATTATTAGGGACTCATCTGTCACGTTAAGTTAGCAAAAATCCATGTGCCCGAGTAAAGTTTTCCTAAAACTCACCACACCTGCATCACGTCACGTGTTGGCCACACTTTTACAACACCATTCCTCACAGCATTTGGTTAAATCTATCATCAAAGGGCTGTCCGAGGGGTTCCACACGGATTTGGTACAATTTTCCAAATTGGACACTGGATGGCAATAATTTGCAAACCACTTCACAGACACAAAGTTAGTGTGTACACTTATTAGGACTGAAGTAAAGGAAGGGTTTTGTTGGGATTTTTAGTTCCCCACCTTTCACATCTTGGGAAACCAAACCATAGGGGTTGTCACGGGGAACACTTCACTTAAACCCAGACTAATCATAGACTTATCAGCAACGCATTCCTCCACCATTCCCTACCTTAATTCCCTCATACCCTCCGACTGGACTCTATCCACATGCAAGCTAGCCTTCCCCAGGATAAAATTGAGCGCACCTTATCAAGCATTGAACATTACTTACAACTGGGTTCTGGCAACCGTAAAGAACTTCAATCGCTACTGGGGTCGCTCAATTTTGCCATGGCAATCATCCCATAGGGTAGATCCTTCATTTCTCGTTACTATCTTTATTCCCACGATTCCCCTCAGACACATCTCGTATCACTTTAGACAATCACGCAACCTCTGCTTTACTCATGTGGCGGGTTTTCCTTACATCCTGGAATGAGTGAGCTATGATTATTCCCCTCCTCTCTGACATTTCTCCACTCTTTGGTCAAATGCCGCGGCAAACTCTGGTCTTGCTGCCATCTGGGAGAGCAATGGCTTTGGGGGTTATGGTATACAGATATTAAATCCCTGCCCAGCTTCTCCACTACATCGGCCTTGTTTGAGTTATATCCGATCGTGGTAGCTGCCATTACCTGGGGACCAACATGGTCTGGTCACTCGGTCGGATGTTATTCAGATAACCTAGCCACTTGCCTCATTATGCACAATGGCCGGTATTCATCTTTGGTCATAATGAGACTATTGGGGAAACTCACAAGGGTAAGTGCCTCTTGCCAATTTTACCACATGTATTCACATTCCAGGTTTCACAAACCTCTCAGCTGACCAATTGTCTCGGTTTTCATTTTAGGCTTTCTTCCAGACACTACCCACCACCTCCAGACTGGCTACCCCTGCCCCACCATTTCAAGACATAATCTTGAATTACATGTTTTGTTAATCCAGGCACGTCACGTTTCGCACCTTGCACTTTCTGTCAACACTAGAAATCATACGATAGGATTTCACATTTTCACTAAGTTTATAGCAGAGTTTCAAGTTCTTGACATATTTGCTTTGGAATCTATTCGGGGGTTCACTTCTTTTGTCACCTTAACCTTAAATTATCATTTAACACAATTAAACTGTACCTTATGGGAATCCAACACCACATGCTTCTACGACACCCCAACAGTACAGAATTCCTTTCATCATATCAGATAAAGACATTACTGAAAGGAATTAAAAAGATATATACATATACCATCTAAAGGCTTCCCATCCACATCAACATTTTTCATTCACTATCCAATACCTTAACCTAAAATTACTCTGTTTCCTACTCAAAACAATGGTGTCCTGGACAATATTTCATCACTTTACCGTAACAACCACACCAACCATTATTAGAACTTCATGACTCCATCCTTGCAACATCTCTATTCATGCTTTAAGTTCGCTTACTGTTAACTAGGCTCGGCCTAAATGCAAACCTTTTTTCAAGACACTCCTTCCGTATAGGGCAGCGTCTGCAGCTTCCTCCAACCACATTACAGCTCATATCATCAAGGCTATGGGACCGTGGAAGTCCTCCGCATATACTCTTTACATTTCAAACCCAGTTAAAGAGTTAAGACAAGCTTTTCGTGACTTGTCCAAATAAACAATGTTTTGTTATATGAATAAATTTTGTATGGTACTTTTCTTTTTGCCCACTTTTATTACAGGCCTACTGCTTTGTCGGTTCCGGCACACCACAACCGACTGATGTCAGTTGGTATATTTTTATTGGTTATAATATGTTATGTTACATTTTCCATCACGGCCAGATTGCCCCGACTGCAAATGTAAGGCTTGGCCTGTAGTTGTGGGGGGGGGCTTGAAACCCCTTACAAGGGCTGCCAATGCACTCCCACCTTATCATGGATTGTCTGGCGAGTCACCCCTCCAACCACTCCCTTTATTCATATCACCATCTTAGGTGGGCCCACTTTTACCAAAGGCCTACTGCTTTGTTCCGGCACACCACAACCGACTGATGTCAATTGGTATATGTTTATTGGTTATAATATGTTATGTTACCTTTTCCATCACGGCCAGATTGCCCCGACTACAAATAAATATATATATATATATATATATATATATATATTTATAACCATATAAATAGTCTTATAAAAACAGGGTTAATAACTAATATAGAAATTATGCATATATCCACAGGAATATAATTAATTTGCTTTTATAATTGTTACAGCAATTTTAGTTGGCTGCAGCTTAGTTGTCATGGTCTCTTATTGTTTTTTGATTGTTGTAGTTTTTAATTACTTATACAATGTACTAAAGGATTACTCCAACCTCAAAGACCACCTCTGCTTTTCAAAGCAGTCATAGTGGTAGGAATCTGTATATGCAGCTTGTTCCATGCAGCCTAAAGTCAATTATGTACACAATTTAAATTCGTCGTCAGCACACTCGGACATTTATACATTTTAATATTATTTAAATGATATATTAAGCATACCTACTTTTTATTTTATTTATGTCATGCTATATGAACAAGGATTGAAAAATATTGCTTATCAGTCTAGTTTTGCTTTAAAAAAAAAAAAAAAAAAAATGTTTTTAATGAAAATGTTAAAGAGAGCAAAATGACAAAGACCAATATGGCTAATATAACTAAAGAGCAGTCTTCTCTGTGTCCAGGATAGGGTTCAGCTCAGGTATGAAGTAAGTATTCAATAAAAAAGACCAAAAAAAACAGACCAGAAAAATACAAATTAGAAATGAGAGGAATCTATATTTGATAAGTAAGGGAAGAGATGGAAGCACAAGAGTTGGGGGAAAAAAGGTAAAATCAACAATAATTTGGGGGGAGGGGGAAAGTGGAGGTGCTGCTTATGCATTAGGATGGAACACTTCCACACCCTCTGCAACACTTAAGCGGTATGTAATATTGCCTTAATCTTTTCTGTGGGTATTCTATGCCAAGTTTTGTTCCCATTTTACCGTACTGGACATCTATCTTCCAGTATTGAGCTCCGCCAATCTGGTCATGGTTAACATCCAGAGGACCAGGGATTCAGGGGAGAGAAAGGTTTGAATAGAGGATAGAATAGAACAAACATTCTACATAAATATGTATTTCAACCTATGCCTAGTGCTGCAGAAATAGGAGGACAAAAATGGGAGTGAGACCATCTGCAGATAGTTATGTTGTTATTTTTTTTTTTTATCGTGGTGATAATAATTGTTACAAGAAATTTCAGTTTAGTCATCCTCCACAAATGTAACTCTTTGGTTGTTAGTCATTGAGTTGGGAGTCTGTGTTTTGTGAAGGATTCCTAAATTCCAGTATAATCTGACTGTGGCATTCAGAGATTGAGCAGATCTGATCACATATGTGGGTTTTTATTACAGACTACAGAGAGGAAAGAAGCAGCAGGTGGAGAATGGGAGTGGAGCAGAAGATAACGCAGACAGTTCCCACTGCAGTAACGCCTCTGTACACAGCAACCAGGAAGCTGGTCCCAGCAATAAGAGAACCAAAACATCTGATGACTCTGGACTAGAGCTAGACACCAATAATGAGACTGTCTCAATTGACCCTGCCATGGATGGAGCTAGCGAAATCGAGTTAGTCTTCAGACCTCACCCCACACTGATGGAGAAAGATGATAGTGCCCAGACTCGGTAAGCAATGGGTCTTCAAGCAGGAGAGTCATAATATGACTTTACAATAGTATTAATTCAGGGTGCGGATCCAGATCTGGGGCTGGCAGACCCTCATATATCAAGAGCAAACCAAGAATTAATGCAGGCACTCAAAGGTAGTGAATGGACGGTTTAATGAAGGACAGTGGACGCTGTTCTTCATTAATCTGCCATTCACTACCATTGAGTGCCTGGATCATTTTTTGGTTTACTATTTAGAATATGACTGTATGCATTAAATAAGTATAATGTTTAATTATCTGCCCCGGTGGCTTATTAAAAGAATAGAAAGACTTGAAACAAGAACTCTGTAGCTTTTGCAAGCTGATTTTAGATACACCCCTATTAAACAAATAAATAAACTGCCTGATTTCAAAACTACCAAGCCCCAATACTGCTGTAAGAAAGTCAGTGCTCCATCAGCTGATCGTCTGCAATAAGCAAAGCCTGATTTCAGAATTATCAAGACCCAATACTGCTGTAAGAAAGTATGTGCTCCATCAGCTGATTTTCTGCAATAAGCAAAGGTAGACTTCTGGAAGACCACACGAAGACTCTATCCTGCACAGCATCATTTATATATAATTTAGCCACCCTGTACATTTATTTTATATATCCTGTGGGCATATTATATTTTCTTGCCTTTATATCCTGTCTGTCATGCTAAAGTGTAGTTTTGCTAGCCCTGTATGAAATAGTTTTATTCACCTATAAGCATTCCTCTATTTCCCCTCTGATTTCTGACTGACCTCTGACCCCCTCCCTTTTTTTATTGGTATGTTTTTTTTTAAATAACCATCCCTTCATCTCTGTGCCTAGATACATATCCCCCTCCCTCAGCTTTATTGCAAGCCAATCTGACCCTCACATATCTTTATTCAACAGCCTGATTTCAAAACTATCAAGCCCCAGTACTGCTGTAAGAAAGTCTGATACCAGCCCTCCCCTCACCACCCCACCACATGCTCATTATTACATTTATAGATTGTCTGTCACACCCAAATTTTAGATAAGTAAAAATAACAGGTGTACACACTGCCCCTTATTAGTACACTCCTGCACTTTCTTAAGCCATAAAACTTAATATTTACCCTGCCTTCACCTGCTCACGATATTCCAGTTATTTCCAATTTACTTTTTTCCCAGTTTAGACATGATCTGTCTTCTCCTCCTCTTTATTTTCTCCTTCTCCCTTAGTATAAAAATCTCTCCTTACACCCACTTCACTCACCCCCCCATCCATATTTACATATACCCTTCTCTCATCTCATGCCTTGCATTCAGTTTTCTACTCTCTCACTCCTACCCACAATAGATATCATCCTAGACCCAATGCATACAAAACCCATTTACACCTCCTGTCACTTTCTCTCCTCCTGCTTCTAGCAGCTGGTGATGTCTCTCCCAATCCAGGGCCCTTCACCTTCTCTACACACACTAAGAAAACTAGAAACCCCACAAACCTCATCACAATACCCACAATGCATTATAATACACACAAAAAAAAAAACGAAAAAAAAAAAAAAATGGATCGGCAAAGTTTCCAGTCTTTGTAGACTCTCTTTAACAATGCTGCTAATATGGTAGCAACAAGTGAGTAGCCAGATATCTGCCAATAGTGCTGTGACTGAATCACATAGCTCAAGAGCTCCTGCTTAATGGGGGTATATAATGTTATGGTGCTTGGACTGCCTTTCATTTAAGACATGAAGTATACATTGTTATGGACCTGGTGCATTCCCATTGTACCTACATATGTTTTGTATGCGATTTTTATCTAATGGAGGAATTGTTTATAATGCACACATTTCGTTAATTCAATAATGCTGATGCATGTATATTTTTGTCTCACAGTTACATTAAGACATCAGGCAATGCTACAGTTGATCACTTGTCAAAATATTTAGCCGTTCGTTTGGCGCTTGAAGAATTTCGCAGTAAAGGAGAGAACAACACAATGAACCTCAACACCGCCAGTGAAAAACAGTACACCATTTACATTGCAACTGCCAGTGGACAGTTTACTGTAAGTATCAGAAACAGGGCATCCTACAGTCATTTGAGTGTGCATGAAACTTCAAGCACAGTTTCCTCTCCTTAAATCCTCAGAATTAGTTTTTTTTGGTGCTAAACTGATGACTTACAGCTTGCTTCAATTGCAACATTTTTACCAATGCTGGCATTGGTGACTCCAAAAGCTAGTAAAAAGTACAGAAAAAGTAAAAATGCACTCGGGTACAAAAGATGTTATAAAAAAAGTAAACATCTTGGTTGTAGTAACCCTCTCTGTAGTGGTTTGCTCCCGCAATGCCAAAACCAATTCCTCTTTTTCCACTGCCAAGACCAAGTTCTCCCTCCGCTTAGTCTTCCTTTTATGACCTCATTCCTGCACTCCTCTAATGCAGGAGGAGGAGTGAGGTCAGCGCGACTAGAGAAAGAGGAGAGCTGGGACAGGGGGGAAAAGCCATGTTGTCATTGACTGTCTGGCACCAGCATGCCAAAACCCCTTCAGCAGATAAGGGTTTAATCTCTGTATGTGCAGCATTTGATGGCACCGTTTCAGGCACCATGACTACTTTAAATCACTGAAGAGGTCATGGTGCTTGGAATAAACCTTTAAAGGACCACTATCGGCACCCAGACCACTTCAGCTCAATGAAGAGGTCTGGGTGCCAGGTCACTCTAGTTTTAACCCTGCAGCTGAAAATATAGCAGATTCAGAGAAACTGCTATGTTTCACTGAGGGTTAATCCAGCCTCTAGTGGCTGTCTCACTGACAGCCGCTAGAGGAGCTTCTGCGATTCTCACTGTGAAAATCAGTGAGAAGACGCTGGACATCCATAGGAAGGCATTGAGTAATTTCCTATGGGCAGTTTGAATGCGCACGGCCCTTGCCGCGCATGCATATTCTGAGCTGACGCCGGCAGGGGGAGGAGAGGTAAGTGTCTGAAGGGGTTTTAACCCCTTCAGCCCAGCGGGAGGAAGCCTAATGACCCTATAGTGCCAGGAAAACGAGTTTGTTTTCCTGGCCCTATAGTGGTCCTTTAATGGCAATTGTATCAGAGCTGCGTGTACCCTGGCGGGGTACCTCCGCCCAGGATCGCTTCCTAGCTGGAACCGGGGAAAACCTCAGGGCTTTTGCCCCAGTCGCCGTGGCTTGACTGGGGTCCTCCTAGTCTCTCAGTCCTAAAACAGGATAGGGGACTAGCTCTGTTCCCTCCTAGGGACTGGACAACAGTCTTGGGAGCTGTAGTCCTTAATGGGACTTTCCCCGCCAAATCCTCCACAAGCTGAAACAAGGTGCTGAGCAGTGATTAGCCTTTTCCCCTCCCAGTAACTAGACTACACATGGTTCTGGAAGAACAACTGATTGCAATGAGCCAAACTCTGCCTTTTATGCACAGACCCCAGCAGGGGGTCTCCATTGTATTCAACACAAGCCCCTTTTAGTAATCTCTATATTATACATCCCCAAATAGCCATGATCTGAGCACCCACGTTCTCCAAATAGCGCTCAGATCCATGCAGTGTAGGGGAAACGCCACAGTACTAAAGTCAACGTTCGGGATCTCCGGCGGCTGCATTACGGGGTGCTCTGCCTGGCTCTCAGGTAGCGTTTGCTCCCCTTAGTCTCAGGCTCCTTCCCTCCAAAAAGCACTTTCCTGGCAGATTTCAAAGTGGTTCAAAACCCCGAACCAAGTTGTCCGGGAACCGCACGGTCACCTCGTGTTGAAAACCATTCCATAACATTCACGGCTAAGAACCACTGAGGTGACCCGGGACCCACGAAGTCCTCATGCCGAAATTAGTTTCATAGCAGTCATGGCTAAGTACCGCTGAGGATCATTCATGGGTTTGGTTCATGCGAACGGCTGCCAGGGAGCTAGCATTCGGTTCCATTAGTGAGAAGGGACAGTGCCGAACCAGGGGCACCCAGGGAAGGCTGCTAATGGCGCCTGGCCAGGGTAACTCCCAAATGGTGTCTCAGACCTGGACCATAGTGGGCAGGAAGCCGGCTTCCACACTCCTCCAGGAGTCCGTGGCAAACATTCGTTGGAAGGAGTGTTTGACACACCAATATTTATTGATAAAAGGGCGTTTGCCTGAAATATTTTAAAGTAAAAAAAAAACAACAAAAAAAAAAACGGTTAACTCGAGTCAGTAACCAAGCATGCATGAGGGTTAATGAGGCTCTTCTTTATAGTCTGACACTGAGTTACTAAACATGTTGAACATAGTCGTGAAACATGCTGTGCTATTGCATGGTCAGGGTCAGTCTAGTGCGTGTTGGTCAGTACAATTAGCGTAGCGGTAGTGGTGATAGGGGTAGGTACTGTGAGTGCTTGCAGTGAGTTAGTGTAGACCAGAGTGGCTGAGTGCCTGTGAGACAGATTGAACCGCTGTGCAGTAGGATGTGCGTATAGTGTTATGTCGAGTTGATGAAAGCAAAGATTTCCAAACGGTCAATAAAAATTAACTGAATTGGCAATGTTGCACAAACCGTCCAGGCAAGGGATGATACAGAACAGTGAGTGAAATAAAGGCATGGCAGTAACTGAGATACACCGGTAGTGCTTTGCTGGAAGTTCACCCTATCCCCAGTTTTGGCACCTGATCTCCTTGGTTTGTGAAAGTCTTAATGGCCCAGGGCTTGTCGTTCCGTCCAGCCCATGCCCGAGTCGGGATCCCATACCCGTCGGTCCGGCCTCGTGCTGCTCCTCTACCGGTGTCCCGGTGTGATGCAGTCCCAGCTTGATCCTGAGGTTTCTTCCGGATTCTCTGCCCTGGATTGCAGCGCTGAGATTTGGTCGCCTTGGGGACCCAGTAAGTGCCATGGGGTCGGTTGTGTCGCCTCTGCTGATGTAAGTTGGTAGTGCGGAGATTACAAGCTTAGTGGGTCGATGGGTATGAGGAGATGAGCCTTGTGATGAGCTGCCGCCCTGTTCCCTCTCCTTGCGTTGCTTGTGCCAGCATTGTCGCCTTGGCGCTTTTTATAGGTCTGCTTCTTCAAGCTCATTGTGCCTCTCAGATGCGAACAGGAGGGCAGTGCTGCAGGGGTGTACCCGTCCGGGGTCTGTGTAAGTGCCTGCTTTCCTCTCAGCTCTAGCTGCCTCCAGCCTAGTGTGGATGTTGAGCCCCTGGGCTATGTCATTATGCTTGATGGCGGTCTCTGCCATTTTGTGGTCGGTAGGCTTCGCCTGGGGCTGCTGCGATACAGCTCGGTCGGGCTCTCCTGGGACCGAGAACCCCCATCGGTCCATGGGGGGGTGGGGGGGAAACAAGGGCTCCTGTTCAGGATTGTAGCCGTTGGGGGCAGCAGGGGAGCAGCCGCCTCCCCCGCACCGTCCATGCTTGTAGGCCTTGGATGTCGCATTGGTGTTTCCTGCAGGGTAGGCTGCTTGTTCGGTGCCCAAAAGTGCCCCTTGTTATCACCTCACAGTTTATGACCCATTTGGGGCTTTTAAGTACTTTTTGTGGTTAGTAGTCAGCAATGTGTGCCTGGCAGAGCAGGAGCAGCACTATCCTGCGTCCGATCAGCTCAGCAGCCTGGCCCCGCCCCCCTGTTTTACCCATTTTACGTTAATTAATATATACTATGTGCATGTATGTGCCTCTTTTTCTCGTTTTGCTGTGGGGCAGCCATTCTTGATCCTTCAAAAGTATATATACTTTGCATCACTTTAAATTGAATTTCTTTATTAACATTTTTCCTTTCTCCTTTTCTTATCACAGGTGTTAAACGGCTCATTTTCCTTGGAATTAGTCAGTGAGAAGTATTGGAAGGTTAACAAACCGATGGAACTGTACTATGCACCTACAAAGGAGCACAAATAGTGATGGACTTTGTCAACTTTTTTTTTTTTTTTTTCTGTCATATATAATATGTTATACATCTAAGATAATATATTATATAGTAGAGGAGTCATACACTCACTTGGAAATGTTGCACTTTTAAAACAAGTGAGACCCTCTGATCTAGTTCAACTGTTTTTTATTTCTTGTTTCTTTATAAGTACCGGTATATTTCTAAATAAGCTCTCTGTTTTGGTATTAAGATCCCTGCAGCCAACAGCCATAGAAATGGAATTTCTAAAAGTTACGACGAGGCCTCTGTATTGTGTTGCAGGAGAGGTTTCTTTCTTTTTTTATTTTTTTTTTATTGTATTTTCTTTGTGTTTTTTTCTAATTTTGGAATACAATTATTTATTGATTACTTAGATAGGTTGGTAATTATACATATGGCACTGAAGGTAAATTATTCTGTTGTAAGCACAGGTAATGCTGTATATCAAGGACATGTTTTTTATTTAATTGCAAGTTTTCCCAAGTACAAAAGAACTATACATTTGATATACACTAATTTTAGTTAAAAGGTTGAGAAATTAGTGTCTGTTGGTACAAGTGGGTACCGTGATGTATTACACATATCAGCATATGAATGACATGTGTTACTTTTTTAACAATCCCATATCCTTGTTACATAGATCAACGTTTGCACAAGTAGGATCCAGTTTTGTAAAGGAGAAATTTTTCGTTTTTTTTTTTTTTTTTCTTAACCCCTTTATGAACCTCAAAGTAAAGAATGCATTGTAATGTGTTAAACAACTTAGGCACTCAAATGTTAATCCTAAAGTATAAGGCTGGGGTTCTCTAAGCACGATAACTGTTACAGCCTGCTGTAGTTGTTATGGTGCCAGGAGTAGCCTGGTTGCCTCCCAGACATTTGCAAACCGTTTGGTCACTTCTGAAGCTGGATACTGCTAGTGTTGCAGTGTATAGCATCAGAGGAGGAAGCACCCAGTGCCTGGCAGACCTCAGGTAAGTTGTCAAATGGTTAAAATACTTACCCTGAGAGGGTACCAGACCACTCTTGGCTCTATAAGCTCTGCCGCGGCTGTAGTGGTTATAGTGCTCATAGTGTTTGTTTGGTGTTAACACTCAGCTACAATTGGGCTATATTTCCCAAGGTTTGCGGAATTATAGTATAAAAAAAGAGGACCACCACGATCAGTAGTACATGGGCTAGGATTAACCCTTTCAGTGCCAGAGGTTAGGTTTTGTTGTAAATAAAGTATTTTCAGTTTATAAAACTAAATTCATTCTTATATGTTTATCCTCTATGTTCCTATTTTTATGTTGAGAACAATAGGGTATTTGCCATAGGTGGAATGCTTGTAACAAAACATTAAAAGTAATATCCGGAATCATGTCTGGAGTCCGACTTGTATGAACGTTTTCTAGTCTTGTACCTATGTCCTGAACATTTCATAGTTATTCACTAAAATTGGAATTGTAGGAAATTCAGAATGGATTTCACATTTTAGGCCAAAGGCACCAAAAACAGAGCAGACTTAGCAGAATATTTTTTTTTTTTTTTTCAATTTTTCTCTAAAATTTTAAATTCGCATTGAGTGCCCAAAAGTCACACTTTACTCAATAATTCCATTACATTCTGAAATAAACTACTCCATTATTTGCTCTGGTACATACAGCCTATGAGACAATTTAGCACCTAGCTATAATAAATAGCCTAGATTTTGTCCTACATACAAAAATTTATTCCTGACCCTATAGTGTTAAAACCACCATCTAGCCCCTCATGCCTCCATAAATATAGCAAAATCTTACTGAATTCAAGCCTGAAGCTGTAGATCTGCATGCTGTTTGCCTCAAAAACAAGCAATCTGCTGACATCATCACAATGCTTCCCCATAGGATTAGCTGAGACTGACAAAGAGGCAGATCAGGGGCAGAGCCAGCATGATTCAAACACAGCCCTGGCCAATTAGCAACTTCTCATAGAGATGAATTGATCAATGAATCTCTGTGAGGAAAGTTCAGTGTCTGCATGCAGAGGGAGGAGACGCTGAATGTTTGGAACATTTTAGGCAGCCATGACCCAGGAAGGATCTCTAACAGCTATCTGATGAGTGGCCAGTGAAGTTATCACTAGGCTGTAATGAAAACACTGAATTTTCTCTGAAAAGACAGTGTTTACAGCAAAAGGCCTGAAGGTAATGATTCTACTCACCAGAGCAAATTCAATAAGCTGTAGTTGTTCTCGTGACTATAGTGTCCCTTTAAGAACCTTCTTATCTTGAACTTTTGCAACGAGGACCAGCCTTAAACAAGTCCAAAAGCAATTTAAAGGGGCACTTCTACTTTTTTGCCCTTTATTTTTGCTAGCAAATGAATAGGTGAACAGTTATTTAACTACACGTTTTGTCCTGGTTAGCCTTTACTGATGTGCCATCAGCATAACTGTAAAGTACTCATACCAAGTTAAGAAGTGGCTGTATACAGTCACACTGCTTCCAAGTGTGACATGATGATATCTCAAAACAGAATGCTGTCCGAAAAAGAAGCAATATTTACAGCTATTAATTTCCAGACGATTTCGCCAGTTAATAGTATAGTTGTATCTGTTCCTATCTGAAGGTTAATTTTTCAATTCTATAATAGTCTATCGTAAGCTTGAATATTGCATTCCGCAACATAAATTGGGTAGGGAGTGTAGAATACTTGTGTTTGGCAATCCAATACTTCTCTAGGGGAAGTATTGAATGCATTTAGTGGCATCATGATGACCCCGAAATAGACCATTGAAAATCAAAGAAGGTCTATCATCTTCAGGGGGCTTGGCCTGGGGCAGTGTTTCCCACACAGGTCCTCAAGACTTCCCAACAGTCCAGGTTTTGTCATTATCTCCCCTGGAATATAACAGGGAAGAGGGTACATATTGGACTTTTGCACACCTGAAAAATTTGGCTCTGCCAAACAATTTAGTCCAAATTTAAAAAATAAATAAAAAATATTCAGAACGTCATAATTTAGCCCATAGCAAGGTCCGGGCCCTGCAGAATTTCAGTAGGGAAAAAAAAGTCTGAAAACAAAATTGGACAAGCCAGAAAGGCAGGGTCAAATGTGACTATTACTAATGAGGTAGGCAAACAAGCGGATGACCTATTCCATATCGGCATCATTGTGGCTCAAAGTTTGTCTCATCCCTACATGGAAACAAATGGAATGTTGGAAAAATAGATTATGGATTGCCCTCTGCATGAGTGAATGAAATACAACAAAATGTTCAACAGTAAACTGATAGATACTTCCAGGGGTAGACGAGGAGTCCAACCTGCTTCTGTCGACTACTGGCACTATCCTCAACATTTCTTCTGCTCTGCCAAAGGATGGTAGTAGTGGGTGAAGTGCAACTGCTGCTATTGCTCTTTTTTTTTTTTACTATGCCTGTCATTTTTTAGTAATTTCACCCTGACTTATGTTTGTACTACTACTGTAACATTGTTTTCCTATACTGCAGGACGCAGCGCTTCAACACGTGCATAGCATACATGAACAAAAAAAAAAAAAAAGTAAACTTTATCAACTAATCCTTCATCTTAATGATGCTGTCATCCACCTGCAACACTACTATTGCCAGTTTGTGTTGGTAGGATTTACTTGAGCAGTAAACTGCAGCCACACACTGCACATACTACTGAGAGAAGATTCTTGGAACTTCAAAAGCAGTGACACAGGAGCACTCATCAAATCTGACAAGAAATAGAAAAAGTCATAGTGTGGACAAAAACTGTGCCATATCAGCTTCTACCAACTGCGTCTAAAGAAGTAGTAGGTGTAGCCATATCGCAAGACTCCAATGTGGAGCGAGAAACCATTACAATGAAAGCTATTTAAAAACATTGCAACCCCTGCCACCACATTTTAAAATACTTTTATTTCATCACTTGTAGAGTAAACTTCCACACACTGGGTATATTACAAAGGGGAGAAGCTTGCAGTTTCCAAAGCACAAGTTTTGCACACAGAATCACACTGAAAATCAATTAAGCTCCTATTTTCTAGAAATAAAATATCACAAACCAGTAAAACTAGCAGGGCAACCAGCAGGGGAGGGAGAGTGGAACCGAGGGAGCTCTAACCAGCATCTCCTCCAAGACTTCCTCTCGCGGGAACAGAGGCTCAGGAGTTGCAGGCTAGAGTTCACTCCCTGCTTGGACCACCAGGGCTTCACCACTACGACCACTAGGGATTGCAGGAAATGCCCCCATCTTCCCTCGGTGAGTAAAGATAAGAAGTGGAAGGGGGGATAGAAAGTATCCATATTTAATAAAAAATATATATATATTTGTGGGGGGGGGGGCACTGTGTGCTTTGGCAAATACTGTACACACACCCCACCCCCTGCCTCCTCCAACACCACGACACTCCTGAAACAATAACTACTACTGCATGTGCATTAGGTCTCCCCCCACCGCCGGCCGCGCATGCGCAATAGGTCTTCCCCGCCGGATGATGTGGGCGGACCCTGAACCAGCGCCGAGGGACATCGGCACTGGATAAAGGTAAGTCACTGGAGGGGTTTTAACCCCTTCAGCAACTTGGGATGGGGGGTGGGAGGGAGAGAGGACCTGCAGTGCCAGGATAACAGATTGTTTTCCTGGCACTTGAGTGTCCTTTTAAATATTGCAATCTCACATAAGGATAACAAATAAGTGAGTTATCTACTAAACAATTGAAAGACAAATTAAGAAAGGGGGCTTTTAAAAATAGATTTTAGCTGTTTAGTAGATAATAACCTAAATTGGTGCCCTTATGTCAGATTTCCATATTTAAAGATACTAAATTAGGGTGCTGATTAGCAGATAGCTCCTTTATTTGGTGCCCTTAAATATGGCAATCCCACATAAGGATAGCAAATAGGGGAGTTATCTGATAAACAAAGAGCAAAGTTAAGAGGTGTCAGCCAGCCCACAACAAGAAATATGGGTAGCTAATGTGAATTCTATGCATATTTGTTACTGGATGCCACCATGAGAGAGCGAATGGCAGCATATTACCCCTCCCCTAGTGAAAAGTTTTGACAGTTATCTCATGTCCCCTCCTCATATTGTTCCCAGAGTCACGACTGTGTCTGCATGTATCTATGTATCTGCATGAGTGTATATGTATGTGCATGTGTGTATATGTGCATACATCTCAGAATCTTGCCAACACTACACACAAATACACCCCTGCCTGTCAACGTCAACACTACATACAAACCCAACCATTATATATAACCACTTCACTGCATTCAAAGACCACACTACGCACAAATGCATGCATTCAAACGCCAACACTACATACAAACACACCCCTACATTCACTCAAACATACTCCATACAAAAACATGCTAACATTCAAACACACTAACACTGCTCAGTGCGAATTTAAAAAAATTGCAGCATTTGTTTTACATTTTAAAGTGGGGGGTTGGGGTGCCAAAAATAGGACCCGCCCCGGGTGCCAAATGCTCTAGGTACGCCCCTGCTTCCATGATCAGCTCATAGCAGGACCATCTTTAGATTTTGTATTTGTCTGTGTATGTTATACGTTCTCCCCTAATTGTACAGCGATGTGAAATACGTTAGCACTTTACGAATGACAGTAATAAAAATAATACTAAATAAGAGTCTAAATTTTATTCAAATGCATTACAGTAATGGACAAAATTTCTTTTTGATCCACTCTAAAATAAAAACAATTTAAATCCATTGAATTAGCATTACATGTTTTAAGGGAAACTCAAGGCTTTAATAAAACAGGTTTTTAAAATGTTTGGATCTAGCAATGTACCTTTTAAATTACCTATCCACACACATAAACGTATATCATATCCATACGCATTCATATGCATGTATAATTAACAATATATGAGCATTTAATTCATTAGAAATGTCAGCAACATGGTAAAGTAAGATTTTATTTTTCTGTTTCACATTTATTCACAGCATTAGAATTTTCAGAAACAGACTCTGTCTCTTCCAGTTCTGTCTTTTCCTGTTTTATGCTTGTTTCTTGGTGGCTGCTTGATTGAGAGGTAGTGGACAAGGTGCTGTTTTTCGTAAGAATGGAGGTTAATGTCGCCAACGGTGCATCTGTTCGGATTCCCGTAGGATCAAAATGTGTCCGGCTCACCAGGAAACCAGCTTCTGAGAGATACTGCAATATCTTGTTCAACCTGATGAATACAAAGGGGAAAAATTTAAATAAACATAAAATGTGGGAAAGAAACTCCCCCCCCTTCCCCTCCCCCAAAATTAACCCCTTAAGGACCAAACTTCTGGAATAAAAGGGAGTCATGACATGTCACACATGTCATGTGTCCTTAAGGGGTTAATATTAACAAATCAACATAGATCACAGATATTAGAGGCAATATCGATCAAGACTCAAACAATTAGT